CGAGAGAAGAGTAAGTGAGACATGTGGCTTCCAAGTTCTTCTATGTCCTTGTCTCCTGTATTTGTTCTGGGTGGGGTGGAGGTCTGAGATTGCCTTTTGCTTCCTCTCTTTGACATTTTTGAAGCCTGAAAAGTTCATCAAGGCTGAGCACTTTCTGTGATGGTTGAGGGAGGGCAGCATGGCTCACCAAGTCTCCCAAATCTGTCCAGGGCTCCCTCCCTCAGTGGTGGAGAGGTAGGGCATCAATAAGGCCTCTAAAGCTGTCTGAGGTTCATCATGGCTTCTGCAATGGTCCCAATTGATTCATTTAAATCCTTCTCAGAGCCACTTTGTAATGGTCTCCATAACTGGAGGACAAAGGGCATCATGCAAATTTTGGGAAACTGGTGAAGAAGATAGGAGGGAAAGACAAAACGAAGAAACAAAACAACAGAACAATAATCACAAAGAAATTAGAAACCACATTCACACTTATGTAGACATGATCAATCAATGAAATAGAGAAGAAACAAAAAGAAAAGAGGAGAGGGTGAGAAAAGTGTCCACTTCAAGTTTTGTCTCTGTCACTGGTAGACAGCATATGGAGATAAGTCCAGATCCAGTTTGATTTATCCCAGCAAGCCAGCCATCGCTTTATGGCAGGGTAGTGAATAATCTTAGAAAGCCTGGATCTTTGTTTCTTCTGAAGTTTAGGCTGGTTTCTGGCTGTGAATCTGGGGCCAAACCCATTCAGCTTGCAACAGTCAGCATACTTTCTGTGGATTTGAACTCAACTCAGAGCCACTAGATGGATCTAGCAGTTGTTCTGAGTTCTGAGCTCAGTGGACCCCTCTCCAAGATGGCTCCTGGCCAATCACTGTCTCTCATGGAATGTCCAAGCCTACAGCACTCACCATTGGCTAGTGCAGTCCTCTACTTCCACTGTTTCATTCCATTCCTGCTCCTTTCTGTGGAAGCCTCTGGTATTGCCAGAAATCACCATGTATCCACAAGTTTGAACTGTGCTTCCCCTGTAGTTAGTCTTAACTCAAGAAGCCTCCATCAGCTACCTCCTTCTTTATTGAAGTTTCTTTCTTTGATTTCCCTATGTGTTTCAATTCTTGCATCTGATCCTTCTTGGGTCCAGGGAAACCCTTTCCCTCTTTCTTTTCCTCAAGTTGCTATACTCCAGTGTCTGGACAGAAACTCTCAGGGGAGAAGCTCTTTCTCTATTGATTACCACTCTTTCTTTTTCTTTCTCTTATTCACAGTGAATCACAGTGTTTTTTCAAATAACACAATAGCTGTTCTCAGTTTTGAGTCATAAATAAGTTTCCAATCCTCAGCCACTTTCTTTACTAGGGAAGTTAGATATATTTTAGTCTTGAGCCCCTTCAGTGAATATTTTTGAGGTCTCTAGGTCTTGCATAGCAACAGCTGAGAGGCTAGTGTTCCACTCCTAGGATGTCAATAAAGCACCCCTGTTGATCAACAGTGTGCTTACCAGTGGCTTCAGGCTCTTGTCCTATTTACGGAACTGGATGGAGACAGACAACAAACATAGTAGTTTAATGTTGATTGAAGAGAAATGCTTATTGAAGAAGAGAGGAAAAGAAGAGAAAATAGGTATGATCTGTGTGCAGAACAGGTGAATCCAAGAACAAGGAGACAGTGAGGATAAGACACAAGGGTCACTGTCTTTTCATCTTTGGATGTTACATCAGGACTGTTCCACACAGGACTCCAAAGCTGCTCTGTGTGTTCATCTCAGCCATGAGCTGATGCGCTCTGTGAATGGCAGGCCACACCTGACTGCCCAGCTGTGAAGTGGCCATTCCTTGATATTCTGACTCACTCTCACCCAAAGCTATGACAGAGCTAGTGAGGTGGAGCAGCAGTGGTGCTGTGCTTACCATAGTGAGGCTTCCACACCAATGGACCTCAGTTGCCACATAGGCCACCCTGGGGAGTTATGGGGACCCTACTGAGGCCCATGAATCTTTACTGCCTCCTGAGCCATTCTTTCATTTTGATTTTTGGTGTTTGGAGACAGGGTCTTGGGGTGTTGTTGAACTCATTATGTAGCCCACCCAGGTTGGCCTTGAACTTGATGCAATCATCCTCCCTCAGCTTTCCGAGTTCTGGGATTACAATAGGTACCATCACACCTGGTTCCTGGGCCATTCTTAACCCAGGGTTGAAGAGTCACCTTTCCAATATTGCCAAGAAGCCCAGAGTTCTTTTGCTTAATTTACAGCGTTGTTCAAGTGCAATCTAGGATGCTTCACAGAGACCTGTGTCATTCCTGGTGACTGCAGGGAAAGGCTTTCTTCTTCCCTAGTGGTGTGGGTACCTGGCTGTTTCTGGTGTATTCTGTGGGAACTCAGCAAAGAGGTTAGGACATCCAGCAGGTTCCAGAAGATGCCGTCATAGGCCCATGGGATGGGTGTGTGGTTTGAGTGGGGAGCCAGCACTTCCCACTGGGGGATGGTTAGAGGGAGGCAGGTTTCAGCTGAGAGAAATGTGAGCTGGGCTCCCCTGCATTGGAGCAGATGTCACCTTCAGGGTCTTGACTCCTTCTTCATGCCTGCAGCAGCCACATGAGCTGGATGTAGATCTCTCCTCTGCACTTTTCAGCCCCAGAAAGTGAGACTTGAAGAGGTCAAGCTATTAGTGAGTGAGAGAGCTGGGATTTGAACTCAAACACTGAGGGAGGCCAGGCTGGGCCTTCATTTGGAGTCCTAATAACAGTGTCTCGGGTCTTTTTGCCAGGAGAAGACCCTTCCTCAGAGAAAGGTTCCCAATTACCTGTTCTCCTAGGAGAAGAGCAAGAAAAAGAAGCTGTGGGTCCTGAGATTTCATTTCACCTACAATCATTCAAGATGCCTGACTTCAGCATGTCACTGAGTGGACACCTGAATCTACTGTCTAAGGAATCTCTTTTTTCTTTTTTCCTATGAATACATTTTTTAATTAATGCTGGGTTAGAGGATGGCCAGCTGCCCCGCAGTGTAGACTTGGAAATGGGGCCCACTTATCTGCTTTTCAAATACCTCATCCCTTTGCCAATAACTCAGCTCAGCTGTCTCTTCCTATCATTTCCAGAGGTCCTGGGCTTCTGAGAATTCTGCAGCAGCTCCAGTAGTCCTCTTTCATGAGTGTCTCTATAAGCTGTGCTCAAAAATGAAGTTAGTGCTTCTGCTGAATACCATCCAACAAAAAGGCAGGCTTATGAATGCATAACAGTGTGTCCACATCCACTTTATGATGCAGGTTTTGAATGGAATCAGGACATCAAGGCAGCCATGACAGTGTGACTAATGAACTCACAAAAGAGAACTTCCGTAACTACTACAGGAAGTGTGTTCAGAGGAAGGGGTGGTATATTGAGGAAGATTGACGGCAAAGTTACTTTTATCATAAGAAGCTTTTTAAAGTTCAAACAGCACTCATATTGTTGAAGCACCCCTCATATACTTGACTGGATTTTGTGTTCAAGTCAGGGAGGCCCTTAAGTCATTGATACTCACTAAGCACTGAGAAGAAACCACCTTGATTGCAGGAACCATTTCTTAGTAAATGACACTCAAATGGCCCTTTCATTGTGAAAGCAGTCAGGAATGATGGATAGAGGAGCTTTGCATATGCACCCTTCTTTTGATGGGGTCTGAATGCACATTCTGCTTCGGGACTTCTACCATGGTAGCAGGGTCGAATGACAAAGGAATGGATGAGGACAATGGTGATATGGCTCTGCCTGATAGATATGTTTACTGGACTTTCTGTCCAGCAAGCTTCATCCTCCTTCAGGCTGAGGCAGCGTGATGAGCTGGAGGAGGGGGTGACTGGTGGAGCCTGACTGTTGTTTTCGTCCTGCTCAGCTCTCAAACCCCAGCAACAAATCCTCACATCACACTTTGTTGTCTGGTTTGTGGCCCCACAGTCGCAAGTTAGAGGATGCCAAAATCTTGTCATCACTTTCTCAGAAACATAAGTGCTCAGAGCCAAGGCCACTGCTAGAGCATGGAGTGTGTTCTGGGAACAGGCTACTGCCAGTGCTGCCTTATGAGCAGTCAGCTCCATCACTCTGCCTGTCAGGATCCTGCTACTGCAGAAGGACCCTGTGCTTCCCCAAGAACCATTCCTGGTAAGGATTTGTTGTTACAGGTGAGGAGGAGCATCCCACAGCAAATCCCTTTAGCGTGGTTTACTATTGTATCTCCTTTCTGTGTAATTTCCACAAATTCACATTTTTTTCAAGGTTGGCCTGTCAGCTGGCCCTCCTGCAGTCCAGGTCAAGATTTCTTGCCTTTTGTGCAAATAGACAATGACATGGTGAGTTAATGTGATTCCTTGGCTCTTCCACCTGGGGGAATCCTTTCTTGGTTATTTTCTTATTAATGGGATAAAAAAAAAAAAAAAAAGACCCAGTAACCACAACTGAGAGGACAGAGGATTATTTGAGCTCATGCTTTCACAAGTTTCAGTCAGCTCCGGGGCAGGACTGGCATGGTGGAAGGGCCTGGGTGGATGAATGCTGCTTGTGGCACTGTGGCCAGGAAGCAGAGGGAGGAACCAGGGAAGGAGATGTGCTCTCTCCGACTCACCCAGCAACCCACCTCTGCTGACAGAGCTCTTCCTTCGAAGAGTAGACAACAAGGAGCTCATCAGTGGGTGACTTCGCTGACAAGCACAGTGCCTCCAAACATCTGTTTTGTTTTTGTTTTTGGTGGAACCGGGGATTGAGCTCAGGCCCTTGCACTTGCCAGGGAAGCGCTTATTCTACTGAGCCATCTCCCTGGCCCCTCAAGCATCTTCTGAACTGCCCACCAATACATGAGGCTTTGGAATGGGGTGGGGCTTCCAGAGTCAAACCACAACAAATTTCTTTAGGAATTCCACAAGTTTCAATCATATGTTTCATAGCGTAATCATGGGCAGCATGCTCTGGAATTTGGAACTTAGGCTATCTTAGCTTTTGAAACACCAATGAAAACTAAAGGCATTTTGGTTGGTATCAGTGTTTTTAATGTACCCGCTCTCCTGAGGTTTTGAAAGCTTGTAAATATTAGGCACAAATGTAAAAAGAAGAAAGTCTTCCATTTTTAGTTATATTTTGCTGTACATTTGGAGTGCTAGATTCTGAAAACTTGGGTGGGCTGAGCAGAAGAAATCACTTTAGTTCACTTAATTTTCGTGATGCTGCGATGCCATGCCCCTGTTTTTGATTGATTTCAACATTTCACAGGTGAGGACACTGAACAACACTCAGGCATAGAAAGGGGCTTGCCGGAGCAGTAGGGTGGGATGGACATCATGATGTGTCTAGGTACATAGCCAGCAGGTGGTGGGCTGCGCTGTGGTCATGAAGGAAGGGAAAGTGGTGCAGTCAGTGTCAGTGGCCTGTGTGCCAGGTGCTTGGGCCTTCGTGGACACCCTCCTCACAAGGTTGAACCACACAGGAGTTGGCAGGGTAGCAGATGGAAGCAGGGCTCCTAATTTTAGTAATGCTTTGATTGTATTTCATATCCTGCAGTAAGGGAGATGAGAAAGAAGGCTTGGGTGTCTAAGTCTATTTGCCTAAATGTTGTCTTTCCCTTTCAGGCAGGTAGCACGGTGGGGGAGCAAAGCACATGGTTCTGGTGGTGTCCAGGCTTGGCCATGGGTGACACCATAGACAATCATTACCTATGTTCTCAGTAGGAAAATGGATATCAAACATCACCATGGAATTTGCTGGCCTGTTTGGGAGACTGAATCAGATAACACATTTATGTACATAAGACAATGTCTGGCATAGAAGACACATTAAATATTACCACCATTTCCACACTCCTTAGAGCACCATCACCATTCAAGCAGAATGGCACTCAATAATAAAAATGTGAGTGCTTGGTGCCCATGAGTCTGCCTAACAAATGGGATTGACCACAGCAAGGATGGCTACATTTGCACTACACTTTATCAGTTATCAGTGGTTGCTATAACAAACCAACCTCAAGATGCCAGTTACTTAATACGATTTCTCACTCATGTAACCATTCAAGGTGGGGTGACCTATTCTGCAGCTGGATTTTCTCTGGCTACATCCACACAACTGACATCCCTACATGACTTAGCAAGAAATGAATCACACTCACTTGGCTGAAGTGTAAGTGTATCAGGGTGCTTGACTGGGAGTCAAGCTGATGTCAAAACCCGGACTCCTTCACCCTTGCACCCCATCCCTCAGGGCCTGGAGTTCAGTGTGTCCAGTGCACAGAAAAGGAAAACTAGGAGTGACCTTCACTTCTTAACTACTGGTGAGTCATAACTCACTTCCGGTCACATTTCATTGGTGAGGATGTCTGGACAGACAGTGGGAAGGGTTGTCCTTGGTGCTAAGGGCACACCGTGGAGCTTTGGGCTGCTGACTGTGTCACAACACTGCCTCCAGGTCATGACATAGTTATTTAGAATTAGAGGTCCCGTTCATTTTCTTTCTATATACTCAGAAGTGAGGGCCCCGGCCCAGAGTCTCAGGTGACAAGTTGTAGAACCAGGACCAGATTTCTCTTCTCCTAACACCCATCCCCAGCCTTGTCCCTTCTACCTGTGCCCCAGAGCACACTGTCTGCTCTACAGTTTTACCAGAATGTTTAAATGAACAAAATCCCATCATTGAACAGAATATTAATGTGAAGCCACAGCAGGGGCACTGGGCACATGGGTCATAAAATAGCCTATAATGTAGTGGTCATTATGAGACCCTATGATTTCTATGCTCACAGCATCCTAGGAATCACAACACTTTGTATATGAATGTGCTAGGACCACTGTAACAAATTATCGCAGACTGTGTGACTCAAACAATTTACTGTCTCAGAGTTCTGGAGGCTGGAAGTTCAAAATCAAGAGGAGTCATCAGGAGTGGTCCTTTTGAACTACTTCAGATGCAATATGGCAGGATCTGGGAACAGCTTGCTATTCAGCCAATGTGCCTGAGACCTTCAGCCAAGCACCCTGACACACTAACACTATGGCCAGGTGAATATGACTCATTTCTTGCTAAGTCACCTATGGGTGTCAGCTGTGTAGATGTGACCGAAAGGAATGTGAAATCATTCCAAACACTGAACATAAGAAATTCTGTTTACAGTAAGGTGGTCAACACAGATTTGTATTTCTCACAGACTAATACACTCAAGTCTAAGATGAAAGTCTCAGAGTAATCACTTGTCATTTTTATATTGGGCCAGCCAGATAGCTCAGCAGACTAGAGCACCTGCTTAGGCAGGCACAAGAATCAG